TTGTTTTATATAACATATGCCAAGTACAATGCAGAAAGAAACGCTTTGGCTGGGAGTTGTCCTGCCTCTGCTATAGTCTCAGAACTGCCACTTCACCAGGAAATCACACCCCTTAAACTCCATTTCCTCACACACAAATAAAGGGGGGTGATTAATGTGTTCTCTTAATCTCTAAATTTGATCAGGCTGCCTGCTCATCTTTAGTGATATCTTATTTCCACAGCTTTTAGAGCAGAAAATAATGAATTGCACTGAGTCAACACTTCCACTGACTTTCCCTCCAGTACATACACTCCAGGACGGTTGATAGCTAGTATTTATACAGTGACTGCCTGGGATAGTGGGAGCCTTTTACAACAAGAGAACACAACATTAACTTGTTTGAACTTAGGCCTTTATGACCCTGGCACATTCACATGATATCCTAATTAAGCAAATTCCCCAAGCCCCCTGCCCATGAACTAATTTAAACTACTTGCTTTAAAGAAACTACTTTAAAATATCTTTCCTTCTGGCAATTTCTAGATCCTACACTGAGTAGATAAAAATGAAAGAACAGTAAAAGGAAAGCATACTTTTTCTGGTGATTTTATGGTGTGGTTTCAGGCAGATTCTTTGATGCTCCCGGAAAAGGGTATAACCTAATTTCTCTCTGTTGGGTGAGTCACTCATAGCAAACAGAATGTGTTGGAAATTATGGAAATTTACATAGGCAAGACGATAAAGGCACTAGAGGCTGTGTGTGTGTGTGAGAGAGAGAGAGAGAGAGAGAGAGAGAGAGAGAGAGAGAGAGAGAGAGAGAGAGAGAAACAGAGAGAGATCTCATTATTGGAGAAATAGCACTTAGATAGTTCCAAGGAGTGGTCCATATGGTGAGGAACTAGGGGTTTGTCAACAGCTGGCAAAGAACAGTGTCCTTCTAAATTTGAAATAATCCTGCAATCCTAATCAAGCCATCAGATGACTGCATTCCCAACCATCAAATTGAGTGAAATCACATGAAATCAGAGCCAGCCAGATAAGTTACTCCTCGATTTCAGACATACAGAAACTGTAAGAGATAATATGAATTTATCACTTAAGTTTTATAGCAATTTGTTATATGAGAGGACTTTGAAAAAGTCTGAGGAAAATTATATTATTTTTCAATTCAATTTTTCCATGAACTTTTCAAAGTTCCCTCAGATAACAATAATTATTTTTTTCAATATCTAATTTTGTATCCTTTGCTTTTGCTACCATATGAATACACTGCCTATTTTCAAAAAAACATAATTTCCTCAATAGTGTTATACTAGCTTTATCTAACTTAACAGAACTCATTTTTAAAAGGCCTGTTCAAGGCCCCCTCCCCACTAAAAAAATTATGAAAAACCGGAATATTTTAAAACACAACTGGCAATGCTCCCCAAGGGTATTAACAAGATCCTGGACATGATATAATTTGTAAGGTGATGATACAAATACACCAGAATCAGTGCAAATCATTATGTCACATAATGCAAATGAATGAAAATGGAATTTCAATTTGTAAAAAGTAGCTCACTTTCATTGGAAAGTTCAGCTCACTCTAGAATCCAATGTAGAATGACGAACTTAGGTTCAATTACAATTGGATAAGTAGCATGGTACTGCTACAAGTGTTTGGCGTTTTTTAAAACCCAGTTTACAGTAACGATGTGTGTTGCAATGCTCTTAAAATGGTTTCCCCCCTCATTTTTGGATTCAACCTGGCATCTATTCTCCCACCATGAAACAGAAGAGTATTTGATTTGCACTTCTCTCCTGTAGTGCTTCATCACTTACTTAATCTCATGTACTTTAAGGACTACGTAAACGTGTGTCCTTAGTTCCCTTTTTCTTGCAATAAAGAGGGCATATATTGTGTGATCGCGTTACATAAACTAGAATAGACAAATGAACACAGACAAAAAATAGATTGTGGTTTAGTAGGTAACCATGGGCTAGAGCAGCGGTTCTCAACCTGTGGGTCGTGACCCCTTTGGGGATCAAACGACCCTTTCACAAGGGTCACCCGATTCAAAGCAGTAGCGAAATTATAGTGATGAAGTAATAACGAAAATAATTTTATGGTTGGGGAGTCACCACAACATAAGGAACTGTATTAAAGGGTTGCGACATTAGGAAGGTTGAGAACCACTGGGCTAGAGGAAGGAGAGAATGAGAAGTTATTACACAGTAGGTATGGAGTGTCTATTTTAGGTGATAGAAACTTTTGGAAATAGTGATGATGGCTATACAACATTGCTCATCAATATAGCACCGATGAAGCACACGATAATCCTCTGGTTCCTTGAGGCTTCCTCACCCCCCACTATCATGACTGATAGTCCTGCCTTCCACTTCGGGTTAGACCAGAGTATGTGCATAGGTACAGATAAAAGAGATAGGAGCTCACAACACACAGAATCCAGGAACAGAAATGGGAGTACCGATACCAGGAGGGTAGGGGGGAGTGGGCAGGTGGAGAAAGGAGGGGAGGAAGAGGGAACCAATCCCAATGATTGATATATAACCATACACATGGGGGAAGGGAGACTGCAGACAGTGTAAGATATGAAAATAACAATAATTTTTAATTTATCAAGGGGTCATGAGGGTTGGGGTAGGGAGGGAAAAAAGAACTGTTACCAAGGACTCAATAGAAAGTAAATGTTTAGAAAATAATGTTGGCAACGTATGTACAAATATGCTTGATATAATCGATGTATGGATTGTTATAAGATATGTAAGAGCCCCAATTAAAAATGTTTTAAAAAACACGGTACATGTGATTAATGCCACTAAATTGTATACTTCATAATGGTTAAAACAAAAAGTTTTACATTGTGATATTTTACAATTAAAAATAAATAAATAAGGCCATGTTAAATAAGCAAAAAAGGAATGCACAAAAGTAAGTGAATAATTTATGGATAAAAACAGAGAATCTTAATAAATAGGCCTACAAACACTATTAATTTAACCATTCTAGTTCAAGTATTTGATAAGTGAGTCATATTAATTCAAAGTGGTTAAGTGTTAAATGACTCTGTCACACACTAGTTGTATGACCTTGAACAAAGTATTTAACTATTCTCTGCCACAGTTTTACCATCGGTAAAATAGGGATAATAATAACCACCACATGCCATAGCTCTAGAGTAAATTAGATAATTCATACTTATAAATGCAGTACACATTCTTCTTGATATGATTTTTATATTGAATTGTGTATGTGTATTATATCCCAATAAAAATGATTTTTTAAAGTAGCACATAGTAGGCACTCAATAAGTGGTACTTAATAAGTATTAATAGAATGTGTACAACTAAAAATTAATTTCAGAAATGGTATCTGCAATGTAGTATCAAAAAAGCTATGTGATGATGAAAAAAAAAAAAGCTGTGATTTTATTAAGTCTTTGGGTGGAAGGACTGACAGTTTGAACCCACCCAGAAGAAAAGCCCTGGCAATCTGTTTCCATTAACATGACAGCCAAGAAAACCTATGAAGTAGATCTGCTCTGTAACATATGGGGCACCATGATCCGAATGAGTCTACAGCAACTAGCAACTTCAACTTCAATGAGTCTACAGCAACTAGAACTATTAAAGGAATCATCAGATGAAAAATAGTCTACAGAAAACATGTAAGATGTAAAAAGAGCAGAGAAAGTTAAATATCCTGGTTCTAAAATCTCTGAGGCTCATAGAACATAAAGTATTACAAATATAAATATAGAAAGTAGGCAGATATCAAAGGGGAGATATTTCAAAAAGTTCATGGTTTAATAAGTCACTGAATGTAAAACTGATGATCTGTAAGCCATCTCCTAATTCACCATAAAACGGTTTTTAAAGTTTATGAAAATATGAAAGACAATTTAATTTTTTTCATGAACTCTCTGAAGCCCTCTTCTATATTCATTAAATGTCAAAATAAATATAATAAAGACTGACTTCCCATTATCATTGGACTATCAACTTTTTAAAGTTCATGGGCCTTTTCAAGACATTGTATATTATTATCGTTGTTGTTGCTGCTTTCCCAAAGCAATTCATTAGGAGCTAATCCAGACAGCACACCATTCTATATTTTATCCACATCAGCAGTATTGTACAACTGCTACCAAAATCAGTTTCAAAACACTTTCTTCCTTCTTGAACCCCTTAGATATCAGTGGATAATATTTCTGATACAAGAGTATTGGCTATCTGATCACAAGTCTGACAAAGGTACAAAATAATTCTACTAATTGGGAAAACACAAGAATAAAAAGGGAAGATTTTTTCCCCCTAAGACTTCTAAATCACTCCTCATCCCTGACATGGTGTTTTCTCTTTTGATTTTAACTAAACTAGGTGAGATAGTTTATTGTGCCAGCCTGGC